GAGACGTCAACCCAAGCCGACGCCAATATGCACTCCTCCTCCGGCGTCCACTTTTGGATTGCCCGTGCCGCATCGGTCAACGTGCCTTTGGCTTTGTGGCTCCTCCGGCGTGTACTTTTTTTCGATCCGGACGGTTCCGGTTGAGTCTCCGGAACCGAATCTCGGTCGACGTACCCCGATTGTTGCGTCTCGTATATCGGCGGTCGATCGCCCCACTCTTGGTAGAACCGCATCGCGGCGTCACTCGGGGGGAGATTGTCGGGATCGAAGCCGGAGCCGGAAGGATTCATGTTGAAAATTGGGAGGAGGGATTTGAATTTTGAAATTTAAAAATAAGAAAGAAGAAGAGTTTGGAGAGAAGGTGTGAGAGATTGGTTGGGGAGGGTTGAATTTATAGAATTTTTTTTTTTAATTTGGGATGCAACGGCTATTTTAGCCGTTAGGAGGGAGCAGCGCCCAACTCACGCCCCGTCATTCGTTTGACGCAGGCGCCCTCACGCCCGTTTCACGCCGGCGGGGGGCGGTGTTTCACTCCCCCGGGGCGTTAAACGCCCCGTAACGCCGGTGGACGTGAGGGGTGTTACCAGTGCTCTTACGTGACCCATATCCATACTAGCTCCTATTAGAATTGTGCTTTGTTTTTTTTAATGTAGAATCAATTTATGTACAAATTAATGACTTGCTATATATGATACTACATTTTTATAGAGAAAACAATACTAAATAAATATCTAATTTCATATTAACTACTTTTAAATTATTAAATTTAAAGTCTAAAACGGATGTGATTCAGTCTAGTAAAGAGTTAACATATTCAATCTACGGAGTATATTTTAAATGATTTTACTTTTTATAGCATGAAGACGGTACTCTATTCTCTTTTGTTGGAAAAAATAACTTCCAACATTTTCTAATTTCTTTCAATTTTATAATTTTTTTTCAATATCCAACTCTGAAATTCTTAAACAAAGAAATTATCGATATTACATTTATATCAAATGGAAACACGATATTTTTTTTATATATCAAAGTCAAAATTCAGGAAGTTTAATAAAAAAACATTCAAACAAAAATTAAATCCATTATTGAATGGAACAGAAGCATTCAAGATCGCCATTAATAACCAACTACATTGTGATGAAATTCGATGTAGGTTAGGGGCCTGCGTTGAAATATATATACCGACTATTTATTTTTAGTAACTCGTAATTTTTTTTGCTTGTTTAAGAGCAGAATGAACTTTTTTTTAATATTGTAATAAAATTAATAGTGCCAAATGCACTACATTTATGATATGTATGCTCAAAATGTGTGGGAAAAAAATTTGTGATGTGCACATTGTGTATGTGAGGGTCCCTTTCTTAGCTGGAAAGATTTTTGAAAATTTTAAAACTCTCTTGAGAAGTCAAAAAAATTTTCTATAACGAGTCAGAGAACTCTAGAAAAGTGTAGAACTATCTGGAGCTTTATGAAAGAGTGGAAACCTGTGAAATATTTTAAAGAAATGTGTGAAGCCTTATAGAAACTTATGAAAGTTTCTACGGAGTATATGAAAATGGCATTGTACGAATATTAGAAACTTTTAGATATATAAAAGTTTCTAGAATCTTAATCTACATATGGAGGAGTAGTTAAATAGGAGGGCCCCCTCACTTCCAACCATCAAAACTTAAGTGAAAAAAGTAATCTACTACGGAGTAGTAAACAGAGAATTGAAGTTTCTTAGAAAATGAGTGTTTAAAGTTTGAGAAGTTCTAATCATCAAGCTCGAGTGAGCATCATACTATGAGCTAATCTTGCAAACACATATTTGTGATCCTACTATTCTTTTATATAGTGGAAGAATCTCCATTTTGGAGATTTATAAATTTTTGTACTCTCACTTCTACATTAATTTCTAAGAGTCTATATTAACTTCACAAAACGGTAAACATCAAGCATTTTCGAATAGTCTCTTGTAAATTTTTATGATGAACATACAATTAAGCCATATATTTAAATTTATAAACCACGATCCTCAATCACACATCTTTTTTAGCCAAATTTGGTTTTATTATATACCATGAAGTGACGGAGTAAATATTTATTAGAGTGATGTTTTTTAATAGAAATATTTGCATGAAGTAGCACTAAAACTTAAGTCATTTCCCTAAATAGTACTTAAATTGTTTTGTTTCCTAAATAACACTTAATAATGTCCATAATGTCCAGTGATAGCGAATATTTGCTTGAATAATGACTAATGCATAATGACTAAAACTGCTACATTGGGAAGAAAAACACATATGGTACTATTTAGAGGAAAGTCATTATATTTTAGTGCTATTTAAGTAAATTCCTCTTTTTAATAACTTAGTGAATTAATTATAATTTCATATTTTTATGTAAAAATATGAATTTTCTCATGCATTATTATTGTGAGATACCGTAGCGCTTGTAATTATTTTAGTGTACATATAAACTGCGGTGTGTGATTATTTTTGTTAATCAAGATAACTCTGAATTATTTTGTCAAATTTTCTTTCAAATAAGATTAAAAATAATATTCCATTTATCAACTATTTATTGAACATGGGCTAGTGGCATGTAAATTAAAGTGTAAACTCAGAAATAAAAAAATGCATGTATCATTGATAAAGAAATCACACTAAGTGACTAAGTGACTATTCTTTAGTATTTGAACTCTTAACTTTCAGTTTCTTTCAGTTTTTTCTAGTTCTTTCTAGTTTTTTCCAGTTTTTTCTTGTTTCTTCCAGTCTCTTACAATTCTTTCAGTTCCTTCTAGTTTTTTACAGTTTCTTATAGTTTCTTCCAGTTTTTCCCAGTTTATTCTAGTTTTTTTCTAATTTCTTCCAACTATTTTTTTTCTACAAACTCTTTCTACTCCCCGACCACTTACTCTAAAAAAGATATATTATTATTATTATTATTATTATTATTATTACACTTATTATGTTCATAACTATAGTTTATAAATTGTTTCATTTTTTCAACTCGCTATTTTTATGATTCAAACTGATCAAATTATGTAATTATCTGATATTTAAAACAAAATCTTGTAATATATAAAGTATTATTACAAATATATTATTTTATGATAAATATTGCATAAATAAAGTGACGTGCAGCGTAGTCACAATAATTTTTAAATATTTAACATTTTGATATTTATGCTAATTTTATATTCTAATTAAATTTTTTTTGCAAAAGTAATTTTTTTGTATGAAAAATATATAACAATAGTTTTTTTTATCTCAAAGGCATTCATTATTAAGATAACGTGATAACAAAAAACAATAATAATAATAATAAAAGCAACAACAACAATAACAACAATAACAGTAATAATAATAATTTACAACAACAAGAATTAGAATGAGAATTGTATAAAAATACACAAAAAATGTTTTTTAAAGTTTTTTTAGATTTTTCAATTTTTCTAGTTTTTTCAATTTCATTTAAAATTGAAATTCTATGAAATTGACTTGGATGAAATTAAGTTCTCCAATTCTAACTTATTTTTGGCACTATCAATTTTTAATTTACATATTTTTGTGTTATCAAACAACAAAATTGAAATTATTATCATTACTTTTAATTTCATATTTTGAATTCCATACCACGAAGGAAGTAATGCATTTGTGATTTTCTCTAGATCTAAATCCACAATCAACAACATATTTGTTTTCGGTTCGGTCAGTTTTAGTTTATGATCAGTTCGGTTTGCTCGGTTTTCAACCATATTTAAAAAATCTACTCTTATTTTTTAGGTTCTAAACCGAAACGACCAAAACCTACCTTTGCTCCACCCTACGAAAAATTTTGGAAAAAAGGAGAAAAATTTGGCCGTGACCGTTGATAGAGTTTGGCGGCTGAGTTCCCTCCTCCGGTCCTCCTCGCGCCGCGTTCTGCCATTCCAACGGCGTCCTCAACTCAGAGCAATAAAAAGAAAGTGTCAAACCAGTTAAGAGATAGACTCAGCAATTCTGCTCCCCTTGCAGCGACATTCTTCTCTTCGTCGGCCCGAGAGGAAGGTTGACGACAGGATGCACGCGGAGCCGAAGGCTGCAAGACCCCGTCTTGACCGACGGAATGCGATCAACTGTAACGATTACACGGCGGATTCCGACTCGACGCCGTCCTCCCCCATCAACGACCTGTCAACTCCCAGGATCCGATCGCTTGAATCTCTCTCGCCATCTGACTTGAAGAGCTTCCGGATCGGAGGAGCCGAGGGCGAGATTGATTTGATTTGCCGCTCTCTCGGGATTTCCCCGGAAGATTTTGCTATACCGGATGCTGCTTGGGGGGCTCTCAGAGCTTCCACCACGGTGAGAAGGTCTAGATTTATCCGTAGTCCTAGGGTTCATATTAGGAATGCTGATGAACTGGAGATATCTCTAGGGGTGCCTGAACATGAAATTAGGGTTTCAGTGGGCGATGGATTTGAAATCAAGGATAGTTCCCCGAGATTAGCTTCCACCAAAGAACCTGCTGGTGATAGTTTGAGCCAAGCTTGTGATTCTGGTAGGAGTTTTTGCCACCCTAGCGATGCGAATTATGTTTATAATGTGGAGAGCCCGGCCGATTCACAAGACCGGAGAATTGGGGATTCGGGGAATGCAATTGACAGTGAAAGAAGAAGTAATGAAGATGATGGTTCCCACTTCTTGAGAACAGAATATCTGCACACTGTCTCAGTTCATGGTTCTTTCAGGTGCAGCATAAAGAATTGGCAAAAGGGTGACTTTCTTGGCAGTGGATCATTCGGAACCGTCTATGAAGGCTACACGGAGTAACTCCTATATCTATTGACTATTAGTAGTACCAAAACCTAACAGAAGAATTATGTCTGGTTCTCAACGGTTGGGTGATAATTTTGTCTAATTTTCAATACTTGAAGGACCATCGTTGAGTTGCATTAGAAAATCATAAGATGTACTATTAAGAAGAAGGCTACGAATACTATTTTTGAAAAAACCCACATGATCCCCACTCTCAAGTTTTGACGTGGAATGACTAAAGCAGTTCTACAATATTTGTGGCCAAAAAAAACAGAACTGGTTTGTTTATAGCTGTACTTTCTTTTTTCCATTCCATCTCTCAAGAAGGAAAATGTTCTTGTTTGCAGCGATGGCTTCTTCTTTGCTGTAAAGGAAGTTTCTTTACTTGCTGCAGGAAACCAAGGCCAGCAAAGCATTTATCAACTTGAACAGGTGGGAAGATTTTACAATTTTAAGAATATAAATTCATATTTTATATAATTTATAGTGCCTCAACTAACAGTTGTAGAAGTTATTTTGGTGGAAAATTGCATTTTTTTCTGACACCTTGTGGCTCGTGCCAGGAGATTTCACTTTTAAGTCAGTTTCAACATGAAAACATTGTTCGTTATCTTGGAACAGATAAGGTATATGCTTATCTTATGACTATTTTTCTCATATTTGTCGAGAGGAATTGCTTCGTGACTTGTATTTAGTCTCTTACTTATTCCCCATAAAAAAAATTAACGAACTCAATGGCACCTTGGCTGATAAAAGGGAGTACTTCTGTCCCAATTGAAAAATTTCTTCCCTCATTTACTTTCTGAGTAAAAATGTCATCTTTAAAGTTGAAACATAAGCGTTCTCTATGCTATGCCTGTGAACTCACCTTATGAATGCACACATACATCATA